GACAAGATATTCTCCAGAAAACCCAGCAGAGGTACCTCCCTAGCAAAGGGAGACAAGGGCCTCACCTGCAGCACATGCAGCCCACCGCCAGAAAAGGGAGGGCAGCCAGAGGGGCAGCGAGGCGCCGATGCTCCCGACCCGAGAAGCCCTGCACCAAAAGCCTCCTGTGGCCAGGAGACGAGCAGAGGGATGGAAGAACTCCAGAGATGTTCACAGGTGGGAGACGACAAGGGCCCCCCAGCAGCCCCTCAGCCCTGCAGAGCTGGCCTGGGCTGGGCTGCAGCCAGCCCAAACCCTGCCTCAGCACCCCTCCGGCTCACCTCCTCACCCCCGAGGCGAGCTATCCAGAGACCGCCCGCAGGGTGAACCACGCTTAGAGCTGCTCGGAAGTCACACGCAGCTCCAGGCTGCCTACCCCTGAGCACCATCAAATACAAGAGGCTGTTCAGTGTCAGGGCTGCACTCCCTCAGTCCATCTGTGGGATCAGTTGGAGTCTCTTTACAGTAGAGTCAGTGCAGAAATCATCCCAAAGACGCATCAAACTCCTCAGAGGCAGTAGCCAACTATTGGCCCTTTATTAAAGCTATTAAACCTTCCGGGAGAATTCAGAAATGGAGCATGAGAACTGCAACTTTAGTCTCAAGAATGAGTTGAGAACAGGAGTTCCAGCTAATAACTCCATTTCTTCCAAACTTTAGTCTTAACCCAACTTGACTGACCGGTTCAGAGAACCGAATTGAACCCTCTGTGGAGAATAAATAATGTAAAACTGAGTGAGGAGACGTCTTCCCTTGGCTATGGAAATGGGCCCTTGTATGGCACCTCCCGTCAGCTGTTTTGATCGTTGTCTCTTGGGATTTTCTACTCTGCTCCAAACCACATTTTACTATCTTTTGCATTAAACTCAGCCTGCAAAACCCCACTAGGTGCCAGCTGCGAAGAGAAACAGGAGGATCAGGACAGTCAGGTCAGGGTGGTTCTGTCTGTCTGGAAGCGCAGATGCTGCTCTTCACTTTGTCCTGCTGCTCCATTTGGGCTCGTTTTTTATGCAAACTCTTTCCAGCTCCTCTCTCTCGCCATTTGGGAAGGTGCTTTAAGAAGCAGGGTTACATTTCAACAGTTCAGACTCCTGAAAGCAGCATTACAAGGAATTCAGAGCACAGCTTGAGAAGCGAGAGCCTCTGCCCAAACCCATGACACGCCAGGCTCGGAAAGCCACTCGGCCCTGGCCCACACAATTAGCCAGCCTCTAATCACAGGCCATGGCCAGCACCAAGGCTTCTTGATGCATCACATCTGATTAACAAACCAGTAGCTGCTCCTTCGAACAGCTCCTAGGATGCAGGAGTGCAAGAAGGTTTTTAAAGATCTTTTAAGGATCCCTGAGCAACAGCATTAATTACTTCACCACCAAAAGTTTAGGCCGGGCACTCTATCATATATGGCTTTAAAAAAAAAAGTTACAATGGCTAAGCAGAACCCTCGGATAACAAGGGAAAGCTCAGCAGTGTTTAGTTTAAATGGCAGACAGATTTGCAAAGTGATGCAGCCGCTCTAATTATAGTAATGACCAAAAGGCTGAAGTAGATTAAATTAGCATAGGAACTGCAGCCAGCATTAGTGTAGGTCTAAGAAGTTTCTGCACAACGAAGGCAGACAGGCTGAGTGCTCAGACCAAGCCGGCAAGAGGGGCGAACACGCACGCGTATTTAAATAAGGCTGCTTTGCTGTGAAGGCAAAGAAAGCTTCCAATATTAGGAACACATTTAAAATCCTGATCCCGACAGCTCATTCCCTGTAATACAGCTTGAAAGCACAAATACCAATTCCTTCCACCTTTAATGGACTAATAAATATTTCATATTTCTGTAATGATTTTTTTTTTTTTTTCCTCCAGGAGGACTTTGCGAACCAACCTAAAATGCCAGTGAAGTGCACCCACCTCTGGGGCAGAGGCCAAGCAGCCCATTTCCCAGAGGAAAGATTACTTCTATTTTTAGCTACTCTTGCATTCTGGAAAGACTGAGGAGCGGAGACAGCCCCCAGTCACCTCCCAGTCCATTTCGGTTTTCAAACTTCACCAAGTGAGTGCACACAGGCGCTCACCTTGTCAGAAGGTGCCTAAATTCACATTTTTCAGAATTAACACCCACAAAGACCCACCAGGCCGCTGCTTTCTTTGCAGTTCGCCTGCACAGCAGCGTTTCCACCGACAGCCCCGGGGAAGCGAGATTTGCGTGCCTACAATTTGCTGCCTTTCCTCTCCACCAAGGCGAGGTGGCTTCCTGCCCTTCCCGTGCCAGCCTGGCCAATCCGCTCGGATTTGCAGGATACCTTCCGAGCTGCTGCAACTTCGCCTCCTTGCCTTGCTAACTCCAAAATTTAACATGAAATTTAAATCAGAGCAGTTGCTTTTGAGATCAGACCTCTCCCTCCCTGCCACGTGGTAATCGCTTCCATACCCGCCCTACTCAACACCGCTATTATGTGGCCAGAATAGCCTCCCTTACGGAATTCTGTTCCTAGTTTTCCAGACTAGGAAGCCTTCAAACGTGCGACAAGACAGACTGTCAGAGTTTGGCGCCTGTTTCAAAGCCAGACCATCCTGGAGGAAGAAGAGAAGAAAAAAAGAAAAGCTCTTTCAGCTCGAAGGTTTCTATGTGGCTCTGTCCAAGCCATTAAGCTCACGCTGGCGGGTTAAGGCTTATCCTTAGCAAGGCACCTCGCTTGGGCAAACAACCCGGTGGTGTTGCTCAGAACTGAGCATAGCACAGCTACCTGCTTGTGCACGATTTTGGAAGATCGCAGAGTGTTTTGGGTTGGAAGGAAAAGATGTTGGCATCTGGAAGGATGTGGGACAGCCTGGAAAGACGATGTTCTTCCCCAGGCTGTTCTCAGCACATCTCACCGTAAGATTTAGCGTTCTTTCTACAGTTTGTTTCGAGCCTCCGTTTCATCAAAGCCATTTTTGCTTAAATAGAAGTGAGCGGTACAGCCAAAAGATCGATCCCCTTCCTTTGGTTGACAAGGTTCCTCCACAGGTCTAAGCTTTTCGGATTTTATGGAGACACGTGATGGCGAATGTTTTCCACGCTACCCACTGGGTCAGACCGTACGTCAGGAATGAGGGTTTGCAGCGGGTCGGTCGTGAGAGCCTTCAGTCTGGGAGAAGCTTACCCTTACCCATCCCTTCACTCGCCAGCACACAACTGCGGCCCATTGCGAGCGCTCTGCCTACGGCACGTGGCACCGGGAGGTCGGCAGAAGGAACTGGCACACCTCCACCGCAGCGCTGGTGCCACAGCGAAGGGCTGGGAGACGTGCACAGAGAACAGCTCCATATGCCAGCTCTGGCACGTACCGTAAATCCACTAACACCATTCTTGCTAATTGCTACAAAGGACTCATGAATCATTCACGGTCTTTACGCAACTGAACAACCACATTATGTATTTAGATTGATTTTGTAATCCTGTATAGCCAAAGCAAGTTTTAATTACAAGTTAGCATCCCCGATATGCCACAAAGCAGATTAACCGATTTAAACTCTAGCTTGCGAGCAGCTTTTTCCTGTTTATTGCGCCTAAAGAGAGAGCCCTCCGTTTGCAAGGATGCACCTTGTCATTTTTGTCCGCGTGAGAAGCTGCACCTCATCGCTCACACGAGCGGGAGTGATATTTCAGATAAGAGACCAAGCAGAGTGCTATTGCTATTTCCTTCTTCAAACAAGCTTTACCCAGCTGAACGTGCATCCGCCACGGGGAGGGGCTGACACCATTAGGTGTTGATGAATCCACTGCTGACCTACATCCTTCAAGTTTTAGTATCCAAAGGGTTCTTCTCTGGCCATTACTCAAAATACCCTTGTGAGCATTATAGGGTCTCCACCACGTTCCCACTGCCTCGCCCTCCCCTAGGGCCACGACATGTCAAGATACAGAAACCCCCACTGCGGTCACGTGCACCCAGAAGCCCCCGAGGGGTTCAACGCTGCCGAGGCAGACCAGAGCGTACCCTCTGCCACCACCAAACACAGCAATGCGAACCCCGCAAGCCCTGGCAGGCCAGCCCCTACCCCAGTACCATGTTTGTGAGCCCAAGGGGCTGCCAAGGGGGGTGATGATGGCAGCGTTGCTTTTTCCTCTTTTCTAGTTGCAGGCCTTCCCCTGCATCATGCTCCTAGAGGGGATGCCCAACATCACAAGCCCTGTATCCACCATAGCAGAACCACCTGCGCTCTTCTCTGGATTACAGCTTCCACCACCAAACCCAAGCAAATCTTCAGCTTAGCAAAGAAAATAACAGAGCCACCCGGTTACGTCCTGCAGATGTTTTCGGTTGGGAGCGAGGGACAGGAAATCAGATGAGTCAGCTTTAGCCCATCTCCGTCTAAAGCACACGCCTCTGCGGCTTGCAACAAGTCCTTCCTTCAGCAGAACCATGCGTGTTCGGAGGTGCAAGACTCTTCGTTTGCAGACCCAAGGAGCAAATAGTCAAAGTACAGGCCTACTACGCATTTTAAACCTCCAAGGAATTCTAATGAGCATATATTCAAATCTAAGTAATCGCTGAGCATGGTAAGTACAGTACAAGACACTTGGGACACGCACAGAAAGTCCCAAACACTTAATTAAAATGTGAGGCTATTAGCACACAGTTTTATTAAAGTGTGCTACTAGAGACAAATAGTCTTCCAAATTTTCTCATCTTTTTTGGCAATCCTACTAAACTCACCTTTTGCACTAACTGGAGGCAGTTATTAGCCGCAGCGCTGTCTGGTCAGCTAAGCCACCCCAGCCTTTCTCTACAGTAACTGAAGAGTCCACACACTGCCTTAGGGAAATGGGCATCCTACGAGCTTAAACCCTCAACATCCTCACCAGGATTCACAGATCCCTCTCATTTTTCAGGGGCAGAACTGGAGTATTTTAGGGTAGAGAAGAATCATTCAATTTTGAAAGTCTCAAACATATTTCAGTCATAATTTCTAGGTCCCCAGACTCTTTACTGCACCAAGTAAAGCCCACACCGCAGGATGCAGCTGCAGTCTCACATAACACAGAGATGGCATCAGCAGTCAGAGCTCCCCGAGCTGCAACTCCAGCCCCACGTGTCCAGGGTCCCCAACGCATGGCACAGACCTGTACGGTCCTCCATGGCTCGTCGTTACTGTGCTCTCCCTTGCTGTCATTATTCCCTGTATATTACTTGCTCATGCAATTACCCAAGGGCCAACAGTCTAGGAACCGTTTTCTAGGGAATTTCTTTGATGACACACTGTCAATGCGAGTTTCATCTTCCCCACAGCAGCAGAAATACCGAGGCATCCTGTGATAACGGTAGAGGCACAAGGCCATTATAATAATTCAATTACATCTCTCTCAAACGAACCAAGGCACACATGTAGCTTTTCCCTGTATGGCGAGAAATGCTGGAGATCACCTCTGCAGGAACAGGTCCTGTCTTTGCAGTTAAGGGAGAACTGTACAACAAGGTATTTTGAGACCAAGATAGTAAATGGTCACTTCCAAGAGATAAACACTTTTAAGCCAAGCCTGAACACATGCCCCAATTGCTCAGACCCTCTGCCAGCGCACTTCTAACACGTCTGCAGCGCTATATGAAGAAATTAACCCCCAGAGAGCAGACTAATAGTTAAGACGTGGTGACTCTACAGCAGAGAAAACAATTCATTAGGGCTTCAGAACACTCTCACCCCTGACCATTTCATTCATGATGAATGCAAACGCTTTGGAAGAGCCTTCTGCTTGCACACGCCACTGGGAGCACTGGCAGGGAGAGGGAGCACTGGGCAGTGGTCTAGTTTGGGCGGCAGATGCAGAGATTTTTAGTCTCATATGGCACCAACCGAAGTCAAGATGTTTACAAAGATTAGATGCTCTCCTCTCACATGTACTGAGCTGCAGACATCCTTGTATAGATAAGGACCAAGTGGGACTGGAAGCAGGCCTCGCTGTAACACAGGAATTACATATTTACTTATTACTGCACTTATTAGTAGCTTTCAAGAATGAAAGTAGAACCTATTGGTGTGATTCAGTCCACAACCCAATTTTCTACTGTGCTGTTACATCCAAGTAGCATGCTGGGTATAAACCACTCCACAACGCTGCTTCAATGCAGTTGTAGAAAGTGAAGTTTGCTCAGCCAGACTCCATTAAATGTGACATTAAAAAAAAAACCCAAACATTAAGAGTACTTCCCAGCGCTACCTGGAAACACACACAGCAATGGTTTGCTCCCCCACATCCACACTGACCAGTCAGACTGTACAGGTTTGATGACATCTCACCACAGCAGAGAGCTTTTGCTGCCTGTTGCAGGAGTGGCGAAGGTTTTTGATTAGGTCAGATTTCTGTGGGTACCACAGCCTTAAAATATGACATATTGCCTTAAAAGAATTCACCACCGACGCAGCAGATAAACCAAATGAATAGGTGGACAAAGAGAAAAGGACAAGGTGACAAAAATAGGAACTTGAACTAAAGTAAACCCTTGTTACAAGACATCGTCTAAAATCTGCCTCAGTGTTTTGAAGCAGGTGCAGCTGAGCCAGAAAAACATCCACAGCAAAACAGAGCGGTGCTTGGCCAGTCGGCTTTAATAACTAACCTTAATGAAACCAAACAAGACCTTCACAGACAGGCTCTGTGCACCAATAAAACTACAGAGTTCACTTCAGGACACAGGACCAGGACCGTGGCTCTGGTATCAGGGAACTCTCCTGTTGTTTGGCAAGTCATTTTTCACTAGGAGGGGGAAAAAATTAAAATTAAGTTTCCATTAAGGAGGGAACAATCTCCCCCTTCTTCAGTAGAAGCTCTTGATGGACTTCAAGGAGGGGGCAAGGGTGGAAAGGGGCGCCCGTGCCTTTACCAGAAAAACCAGAAACATTTTATTACATATTAACCAACAGTTTACTCCGATTCTGAACTTGAGCCAGCGAAGGAGAGAAAGGGAGGTCCCACCATTAGGATTTGTGACTATTTTGTAGTTAAGTCTGTCACTGAAGGTTAGAAGGCAAAATTAAACAGCTCACTGACAGAAGTCCTGGTACGGGATGTGAAATATCTCGCAGCTGAGCTCGGAAACTCAAACCAAAGTGAGAAAGAGAAACAAGACCCTGCTAGGCCAGGGCTCTACACTCAGCACGTCACAGCTAAAGACGCAATACAAGAGCCTTCTAAACATCGCGCAAGTTTCCCTTCCCGCTACGAGATAAACCCTTGCAAATAGTTTGTTTTGGCTGCAGACGGCTCCCCTCCACAGCAGATAAACAACTATCTCGCAGGGCTGCGACAAACAGCGTGCGGCGGACGACGCAGCTGGCTGCAAGGGCCCCGCAAGCAGAGCGCAGCCCCAAGAAAAGGGAAAGTTTCGTACGCCCGGCCCTACAGACAGAAGTGTAACACCAGGCTTCTCCCACAGCTAGTTTTAATTACTTACTTGTGCCCTGACTAATCAGTATGTAACTGGCACTTTGAAAGCTTCCAAGCACAGATCTTGAGTCACTGAAATAGAAGAGGTTGACAACCCTTGTCCCTGTTTTACAGCTGCAGAAATCAACTGAAGAGAGCCTCGAATTACTTCCCAAACTCATCAGTCAGAAGTGAAAGCAAGGAAAAAAAAACCCCAAGGCTTCCTATGCCCATTGGGGGCACAATCCATTGGATCGTGTTCCAGGCACCTACCCCATGGGTGGAAGCAGTAGTGGCTGTCCCAAAGAGCTCAAGAGCCACACACCCCTAGATGGTCACACAAACAATGCAGAACGCAGCAGCATGAAATGTATTTCTGCACTTGCAGCTACACCACCTCTCACCTTTCCCAGCTGACAGCACCGCAGTTTACTTCTTCAACATGAAATCTTAAAAGAGGAATTTCTTTAAGAAATACTATTTTACTCCTTAAGCAATACTATTAAAGAAGTGCCCTGTGTTACTGCCTCCCCAGCCCACAGAAGCAGCTCCCTTCCCCATTCCCAATCCCAATGACAGCCCTGGCTGCAGTTCAGCGGTAAAGACATTCCTGAATACCTACGGTTTAGGGAGCCTGTCCGCAGCAGAAAGCCATGTTGTTACTCAAAATGATACAGAACTTCAGCTGGAAAATAATTACAAAGTTTAACCCCTCAGTTCCCAGCTACTGGAAATATTTACTCACTTTTTCACATTTGCCTCCCCATTGGGAATTCTGCGTAGCTTCTTCTTCTTCAGTATTTTCACAGCTCGCCTACAGAGGGTTTCAGAGTCCAACATCTCCTTGACTTTGCCGTAAGACCCTTCTCCAAGTAAGTCTCCCATCAGGTATTTGCCAATGAGCTTGGCCCTTTTCCGCCGTGGCTGGTAGATGACCTCTGTAGAGTCAATGCGATGGATAAAAGTGTCCATCCCCACAGACATCAGCTCACTCTCTGCAAACATACCCAGCTGCTGTGGCTCCTGCATATCCATCCTGGATTAAGTTCCTTAACCTGTCTTCCTTAAGCGCTCAGGGTTTTAATCCTGTTTGTTAGTTTCCAACACTCCCTTTTACTCCTTCTTGAAAAAAAATATCCAGAAGATTGTACAAACATGAATAAAAAAAAAAACCAAAACCAAAAAAAAAACTACGAGCTGCTTCCAGCTCAAGTGGATGCTAGAAGATCCAGGCCTGGCTCCAGTAACACAACGTCTTTTAAAAAGAATATATATCTTTGACCAAACACACTCAGTTTGGGACTTGCTTTGCTTCCGACCTGGTCCCACTGCTAGGGTTCTTTCAAGTCAACTTGGCCTTTAACTTGGCCCAGTTTGATTCTTAAGTGCTAGGTCATCCTCTGGGACTTTAGGCCACCACATAAAACCAGACAACTGCCGAGTCTCTTTCGTGACTTTCCATTCCTAGTAGATCAGAGTCACCAACTCCCAACTGGATGGCAGGCGAAGCGTTTCTGCCCTGCTGTCCTCACTGTCCAGGTATGAGCACAGACGGGGTTTTTTTCAGCCGTTTGGCAGCTGGAACCAAGTTTCTTTGAAGGAGTTTTCAGAAACAATTCTAACGTCTTCGCTTTTCACGCCTACAAAAGTTTGAGGCCTTCGGTGTCTATCAAGATCTCCCAGGGGCATCCTTCAACCACCTGGATTCCGCCTGGCACATGATGTGTCACCACCACTGGTCCAGGTGTCAGCCGGTGTCACACAACGCAAAACCTACTACAGCTTTACCGACCCACCTTAAGACGGGAACAATCAGGAGGAAGTAATTCTCTCTGCCCCGTACCCAAAACACCCCATTCCCTTTCCCAAGAAGAGAAGGTCAACGAGGAGATGCCAACCTCGCCCGGGCTCTCCCCTGCTCCTTCGCGCCCCTTCCACAGGTGGCAGCCGGGGCGGGGAGCAAAACAAGCGGCACCGCGGCCGCCCCCGGGGAATGCAGGGAAGGGACGAAAAGGGGATAAAACACCTGAAGTGTAACCAAACTAGCGATGGAGCCGGGAGGGAAGGGACCCCCGGG